CTGATCCTTCTGCTGTACAATACACTTGATCATTTATGAAGTACTGGTTTAATACTTTGAAGAATGTTCACTCCGCAGAAAACCATCCTTACTTTCTACAGCTAACAGATTTTATTTAAAGGTCTCCTATTTAAGTACTAATTGGCTCAACACTTAAAAGAAAAAAAATCTGGTGGCAACTCAAAAAGGTTTCTATTTAATAGCCATATCTGATCATATACAGCTATGGTTAAATTATAAGTGATATTGGGTGAAGACGACAACATTAGATAAGCCAGAGCTTTTCAGAAGTATAAGACAACTGCAATAGCTCATCTGCATTTCTGAAAAGACTATTTTTCTGCCCCCTTCAAATAAACAGTGATACACCATATTTACCTGAATCTAAGGCAATGTTTATTCCCCACATCCAACCTGGGGGGAAAATACTCTCATCTTAGATTTTAGAACAAGGTGGGAGAAGGAAGGAAAAGAGTGCAGAGAGTGACGGCAGATCCAACTCCAACCCTGAGCTCAGGGTTGAAACTATAGCTGCAGCCAGCACCCGTGCCCCCACCTACATCCTCTGCTCCCCACAACCACTCCCTGCCCCTATGCTGCAGCTTACGTTTCCCTTGCAGTTCTGGCTGGGACCCTGCTCCAGGGGCAGGGAATATGCAGCACATGCTGCCTTTGGTCATGCAGCAGCGGCATCAGCTCTGGCCAGGGCTAAAGCTGCTATTCCTGCTACATGGCCAGGCTGGGGCCAGAGACAGCACATGCTGTGGGCTCCCTGCCCCTGGCCAAAGCAGGGAACCAAAGCTGCAAGGGTTCTGTAAGTGGTAGCAGGACAGGCAGCAGGGAGCAGGGGATGTAGGCACTATGGGGAAGGGCAGGAATCACAGGAGACTAAGCAGGGAAGGCAGGTACTGGAGGAAAAGGCGAGAGGGGTACAAGGGATAAAGACACCACAGGGCCAAGCGTAAGGAACGAAGGTACCTGGGAAACAGGTAAGTAGAAGGCAAGTGGTAGGGAGAACAGGCAGCAAGGGGTAGGCCTCTTCACTCCCCTGCCACCTGCCCCACTCTGTTTTGTGGCTGTTATACATCACTGAGTGCTTGACTTCAATTGAATATGTACATTTTTATACATTAGTGTAAATACATTACCACCCCTCTGATATCCTCACAAATGATATCCTCACTGTGGCACCCTGGCTGAGAATCGCTGCCTTAAGCTCTCAGACAGTAATTTATGAAATCTGAAAAAACTGCTTGCCCCAACAGATGATTTCTGTGTAGCTTCAGAAACAACTACTGACCATGTTCTGGAAAGCCCAGGTTTTGAGAGTCATCTACTCAACTTAGTCTGCTCTGTTTTTTGCACATATACAGAAACACAGGATTCAAATAAAAACCTGAGGCTCCACCTTTTGCTT